GGGGGGGGACGACAGCCGAATCCGAGTGCCCTGTTCTTCAAAGTACCCTGGGGTTAGTTGGTGACACAAGGCAACGGTAACACTCACCTCTTTCATGGCTTCTACAGAAGTCTAAAAATAAACAGAAGGTTTCTAATAAGGAGTTTTTTATCTAGGAAATTGGGGTTAATATACACAGAAGTATTCTCAGCTGACTCAGTTTCTAGAACACTAACTAAGCTCCTTCCTTTGCACAACACCATTCCTAATCTTAGGAAAAAGCACCTACACCTAAGAAAAAGTACGTTTGCTGTGAGAATTCATAACTTTGTTTTGCCGGCCTTCAAAAGGGGCTGGAAAAGGATTAAAGGAGCCAAACAAACATAATCTGAGCGGGCAATACTACCAATGTACCCAGTTTCTTAGCCTTTCTAGATGGAAAACAGTTTGGCTTCTTTTCTGCCATGAATTAAAAGAAATCCAGTGTCAACCATCTTCCTTTTTCAAAAAGCCCATACACGTTCGAATTCCTTGCAGATGCAAATTGTAGCCATCCAAACACACACAGTCACACAAACAACGTAATATGCGTGCAAAATCATAGCCGCTCTTCACTTCATACATTTGACTTGCACTTTATATTTTGTTTTGGTTCTTCTTTAAGTCCATAAAGCGTTTCACTGCTTGAGGATACTTCTTTTAAGCAACCACAAGAATTAGTTTTATTCAGACTTGTAGCGCTGCAGCAGGACTGCCAAGTTCCACGATAACCCACCTGGTTGGTGTGCAGGCGTTCAAACTGTAACGTGCCACAGCTGGGGGGGAGCGGGGGGAAGAAAGGAAAGATGCAGAAGGACACGTTCTCACCTTTATTCTTTCTATCGAGGCCTCTATTCTCAACTGCTGGACAGTCCTTCGGGCCTGCGCTATGTTATTTGTGGTGTTAGCCGTTTTGCCAGACATTTTCAATTAAATCTTGAAGCTCTGTTATGAAAGACAATCGGTTACTTTTCCAAAAAGCGGCACAGCACGTTAAACTGCTTTTATGTAAAGAGGCAACAGTAATACACTGTAAAAAGTGCTTTTTGTTATTTTCCCTCCCAGGAGTTGTTAGCTCAGAATCACTTGACAACTGAGAGCTTGCAACCAGAACAACTTTAGCAAGCTGTCACGTCTCTTTTTTTCTCCCCGATTCACATGCAATCTACCTTTCTCTGCTTGCAGGTTTCCCCAAGCAGGCTTTAGGACTGATTCTTTGAAAGCTGCGTGTGCTCACAGACGGGGGGTCCGCTCGCCAGGCCGCGGGACGTCCGCTCCGCGGCTCCGGCGCTGTGCGGGAACCCCCCCGCCGGCTCCCCCACGCAGCCGGGCGAGCGTTTTACAGCCCGATTGCGACAACCTTTGCCCAACCAGTTGTATCGGGAGGAGGAAGGGAGGGCAGCGGGCCGG